CATTAGAAATAAATATTTCACAATACATAATTACATATTGTTTTTGTGATTAATCGCTATGCTTTAATGATGTTCAATTTGTAACAATGAAAATACATCCCGCCTAACAGATATTTGCTTGATGATTCATAACAGTAGCAAAATGGCAGTTATGAAGCAGCAACGAAAATAATGTTCTGGTTGGGGGGTCACCACCACATGAGGAACTGTATGAAAGGGCGGCATTATTTCTGACGATCAAATTTTTAAGTTGAGGTATTGGGTAGGGTTTTATGGCTTAACCTTGTCTTCAGTGTGGTTTCCTTACAGAAAATGTGGTCTTATTGTCTCTTTAGTAAGTAAAGAGGTTTTGCATAATCTGTGGGCTGTGGCCCTTTCACAGGGCTTACTTGGTTTCTAACAGTAGCAAGATTGTAGCTGACTGTGGTTTAAGCTTTTGCCCGCGGACTTCATTTTTAAAGACATCTCTGTGTTCTGGAGGGACTTTAGCAACAGCGCTCTTAACATTTTCCTTTAAGCGTAAGCATAAGCAGAAAGTCATTTTTGTACATCTCTCGTACTTTTCTATGAAGTGATTAAACAAGAAGCCAAAAAAAAAAAAAGAAAGGGCGGCATTAGGGAGGTTGAGAGCCACTGCTCTAGACAGTGCAGAACTGACCCTGTGGTTTCTGAGACTGTAACTTTTCACAGGAGTAGAAAGCCCTATCTGTCTCCAAGGAGGAGTTGGTGGGTTTGAACTGCGGACCTTTCGGGGCAGCCTGACTCGGGGCCAACACTGCCACCAGGGCGCCTGCACCTTAAAGCAAGAATGGCAATAAAGTGAGTCCATGAATCATTTCATTTCTCGATGCATGTAAAAGCTACGTTTACACTATACTGTGAAATCCCACCGCTTGGAGCAGGTGTGTCTTGGCTTGCAAAGTGACATTTGACTGTGTAACCCTCTCAAGGGCTCTCGGGCAGCAGATCTGCCCAGTGCAATGCATCATTTGGTTTTCCGACAGCCGCTTCCATCAGCTGAGTTGCCGGTGGATCCGGGTAAAGTGAAATCTTTGTCAACTTTGATAGTTTCCCTGTTTATCACGATGTTGCTTATTGGTTCAGTTGCAATCCATCCTGAAGGCTGCAACCCTTGGTCTTCATCAGCAAGCGCTTCAAGTCCTCCTCCCTTTCAGCCAGCCGGGTGGTGTCATCTGGCTACGGCAGGTTGTTAGTAAGCCTTCTTCTGATCCTGATGCCACACTCTTCTTCATATAACCCTGTTTCTCTGATGATTTGCTCAGCATACACACTGAACAAGTATGGTGAGAGGATACAACCCTGATGCACACCTTTCCTGACTTTAAACCGTGCAGGCATGGTTCAAACCCTTGTTCTGTTCACACAACTGTCTCTTGGTCCATGTACAGGTTCCACGTGAGCACCTTCGCACTCCATGAATTCCCATTCGTTATGCTGCTGCAACCATTTCTTAAAATGATCTTCAGCAGTTCTGGTTGTTTGTGATGTTAATGAGGAGCCCTGGTGGCGCCGTGGTTACGCGTTGGGCTGCTAGCCACAAGGTCAGGAGTTTGAAACTACCAGCCACTCCGAGGGAGAAGGCGGAGGCTTTCTACTCCTGTCAAGAGCTCATCTCAGAAGCCCACAGACAGAGGCAGCTCTACCCTGTCCTGTAGGGTCACTATGAGGCTGTACTGACTTGAGGGCAGTGAGTTTGGTTTGGTTGGGTGATTTTCATGATATTGTCCAATCATCTCCATATTCTGGGAAGGGAAGCGATAAGATATGTCAATAAAAATATGCACACCAGCCTGTGTGATCATGAGGTGTCGATGGGATCAGGTGTCAGGCATCAAAGACCCAGAACAACAAATTATATCGATATGAATGAGGGGGAGGGCAGAGTGGAGACCCAAAGCCATCTGTAGACAATTGGACATCCCCTCACAGAAGCGTCATAAGGAATAGACGAGCAAGTCAGAGTGCAGTACAGCACTGATGAAACATATATACAACTTTCCTCTAGTTTTTTAATGCCTCCCCCGTCCCGACTATCATGACCCCGATTCTACCTTACAAATCCGGCTAGATCAGAGCATGTACACTGGTACAGATAAGAGCTCAAAACACAGAGAATCCAGGATAGATAACCTTCAGGACCAATAATGAGAGTAGTGATACCAGAAGGGTAGGGGAAAGGTGGGGGGGATAAAGGAAGAAGCGATCACAATGATCGACATACTAACCCACCCCTCCAGGGGGATGAACAACAGAAAAGTGAGTGAAAGGAGACAGCGGTCTGTAAGACATGAAAAAGTGATAATTTATAAATTATCAAGGGTTCATGAGGGA